TCGTCTCAGTGGTGTAGCGGTCAACACCCTCCCATTGGCTGTCGTCTCAGTGGTGTAGCGGTCAGCACCCTCCCATTGGCTGTCGTCTCAGTGGTGTAGCGGTCAGCACCCTCCCATTGGCTGTCGTCTCAGTGGTGTAATGATCAGCACCCTCCCTCCCATTGGCTGTCGTCTCAGTGGTGTAGTGGTCAGCACCCTCCCATTGGCTGTCGTCTCAGTGGTGTAGCGGTCAGCACCGTCCCCATTGGCTGTCGTCTCAGTGGTGTAGCGGTCAGCACCCTCCCATTGGCTGTTGTCTCAGTGGTGTAGCGGTCAGCACCCTCCCATTGGCTGTCGTCTCAGTGGTGTAGTGGTCAGCACCCTCCCATTGGCTGTCGTCTCAGTGGTGTAGCGGTCAGCACTCTCCCATTGGCTGTCGTCTCAGTGGTGTAGTGGTCAGCACTCCGCACTCGCAACCCCGAGGTCGCCGGTTCGAGCCCCTGGTGTGGCGGTTGCAACAACCGACAAGTTTATTACCCCCCAACTCCCCCCGCCTCTGTCCACAGTTAGTCGATCGGCAGGTCTCATGCAGGCTGTGCCAGCATGGATGAGTAGGCCAAAATTCCCTCAAGAAGGGGGGCCCTCTCTAACGTTTTAGTGGAGGCCCTTCCACCATCAGTGGTGTGAGCAGGAAATTGGAGGGCTGCACCTTTGCCACCATGCCAACAACCGCTGAGGAGGATCGGATGGAGAAGCAAGCGAATTAATTGGGCAGGGTATGACTACAATGATTGCAGATGAAGAAAGTAAAGAAACGTTATAACACAATCGTTAAACTATCATTTGAAGTGAAATTTATTTATAGTTCAACGTGGCACATGATATGAATTCAAATGTATAATCATGAAGTCAATTTCTCAATTAAAAAGTTTCGATTGAAATTGTCGAGCTCTATATATCTTGCCCATAGCTTGGGAAGGTCTTTATTCAGCAGTGGATAGATCATGGCTGCTGGTGGTGGTGATCACATGAAGGTATCTGATGCACTTTAAATAACTGCAATGGTGCAAAATTTGCTTAAGTTTTAAGCATTTTTTAATTCAGTTTTACATATAAATTGTCTCCCATGTATAAATGCTAAAGTTTGGAGGATATGTTTGGTTTACTGAAAATGGGAATTTTGCGTTTGTTTGGTAGGTATGTGAGCTCTTCAAAAATGTATTTAAATGAGCAGCTGAAGCGTTCAAAAGATATAGTTCTTGTCTGTAGTCTGCATTTGCATTACAAAACAGTCCGTGCACTTTGCATAATAACTCTGCTATGGTACGTAATTAACAGTGTTCTAAAATGGCTGCTGTACCGTAAACAATATTTGTTAATGATTTTACAATCTGATTATTATATTATTTTACTTTGGCGTATAATTCAGAGGGGAATGACGAGATGAACATTTTACAAATTCATTTCAACTTCCTTCAGATCCAAGATAAACATTATGCATGAATAAACAAAATATCAGCGGCGGTGTTAATAGTGGTGCATAAGCAAACGTGAGCATATGCAAAATACAAATCATTCTCAGCTATTTGTTGATGCATTGCTTGATGATGGTCTCCCCACACCGTGCCAGTCGTGGGAGCTGCCTGGACCATACTTCATCATGCTGGTCTTAACAGGACCAGTTACGATAAAACAACACTAACGTTAACCATGTTCAGGAATCAAACACAGGCCACCAAGATCACATCGCGGTGTGCTAATCACTTGTGCCACTGATCCTGCCTGTCAAGTCCATGATTTGTTGACCGTTATGTTCCACATTTGATATTGTTAAAAGATAAGTAACACCGGCGTTGTCTGAATTACGTTTATCAGGGTCAAGGGAATTAGGAGGTTATGGAATAATAGGATACACCTCTTGACTGCAGATTAAACATTTTTGTGTGAATTTTAAGTCGGCTTAACAAAAGCAATTGCAGTTAGCAATGTACCACTGTGTCAGAGAACAGTCCCAGAACATGACATCACAGAACTATTGTTGATGTTGCATCAGTAGACCTCTTCACCCACGCTTAGGACACATGTTAATGCCCCTTAGAGATATTTGCAAACAAGCACTGTCAAGCGAGAAACCGCTTGCTTTCATGAGCCTCATTGAGGCAGGCTTTGAGCGTCAGCTCAAAAAAGCAAGGCCGTTCATCGACGTCTCCTCAGCATAAGATACCAAACGGCGAAAGGGTCTCCTGCAAAAGCTTGCGACAGCTGTGCCTTGCTGCCCGATAACAGACTCATCGCAGAAACGCTGGGCGATCGATGGTTCACCGGTCACGTTGGTGAAGCTGCCAGAAGCCCACGAAGATTGAACAATGAACTAGCCAGCATCCAACGTGAGGCTGCGACGACCCGGGAGTACGGAGATATTATGGACAACATCGCTTGGCTGCACCAACAACACCTAAAAGAACCCTCACGCCATCGGCTGAAATCCAGGAAACCTTTCTGGATGCGCGCCTCCGATCTAGCAGCCGGAAAAAAATAACCATCGGCACTCGCTGGACAGGATCGTGAAAGCAGCGGGCCTCTTTCTTCCACCAACACCGCGGAGCTGGCTAACCCGTGCTGCTCGAACGCAACATGGGAGAAGCATGTCCACCTTTCACAAATGGAAGGTCAAATAATTCCCAAGCCATGACGAGTGAATTTCGAACCTCCAAACGCACCACCGACGAACGCCCCATCCATGCACATCCTGGCGCTGTCGCTGCGATCCACACAGGGTCCACAGCCTCCTTGGATGAGTTGAAAAAACTTAGTATTCAACTCGAACACGCTTCGACCCTGCCATACGAAATAAGAAGTGAAACCCCAAATTGAATGTAATGGGTTTTTGTCATCATGTGTGACCGCATCTATCTTTATCCCTGAAGAGCAAGAGGGCACCAAGGAAACTGATTGACAATCAATGAGTGGAGCAATCTCGAAACAGAAGAATTATTTGGAAGCGCAAAGGACATAAAACTCGGGGAATCCATCACTGCTGACCACTTACCAAGAATAGCCATTGCGATTAATCTAAACCTGGGCTGCGACCATGAAATCGCTACACTTGAGTACGTGCTTTAATCACGGGAGCTGAAACTGGTTTTGAACCCAGAACCTGAGCACTGCCGACTGACTTCTTTGATCTCTGAGCCAGTCGGCCAACTCCACGATTACGATTATTTTACATTCACGAATACATTTAGCAAGTTATGAGCATTGAAGCGTCAGTTTACATCTGGTAGTACAACCAAACAATGTAGCTCGTGACTATCGTGAACGCGTGCACGCTTGACGACAAGTGCAACCTTGTTTGCGTGGCAAAGGGCAGTCTATAATAAAGGGGCGATCCAAATGAAAACAGCACTTACGGTAATGCCCCTGCAGCTGCGATACAGACAGACTTGCTTCTGGGCCCAGTCGCAGAGCGTTATCACTGACGATATCAGATGAACTTAAAAAAAAAGTTATTCATTCACATTTTACAAAAATGTGCAGTTTTCAAGGCGACAATGCCTTTTTTTATTATCCAAATTTAACCCGAGAGATAAATAATCAGGGCGGCAATCGACACTATTGTGATCTGCCACTATAATGCCAACCCTAAGTGCTCCTCCATAGGTTATCTCGACTCGTTCAATCCCTCCTCCGCCTCGGGGTGCCGCCAGACTCGCTGGGGGAGCCCGCAGACGGCACGCGAGCAAATAAAACACACGGCACGCGTTTTGATTCGTATCAGTGTGATCTTGCACGGGGTGGGGGATGGGTGGGGTTGTAAGTAGCTGTGGGATCATAGCGCGCCTACCCAGGCTCTGCCAAAGCGATTCAAGGTTTGGGTACAAAGAAAGGAAGGCGTTGGACTGTCATGAGAGCAATCTGAAGGGCATTTAATCCTCCAACAAACAGACGAGGGTTTGTCTGGAACGAGGTATGATGTTTGGATTCATTCGTAGTTTTCTACAGATGACATTTTCCACTTCCAGTTTGGATCACCCTTTGTTTGTATTGGTATGGGGACCGAATGGCTCTGGTTGTCACGCCCCTTTGTCAACGGTTTTACTGAACTTGACTCTTGTGTTTGTCGTGGTCAAATCTTGTCATCAACATTTCGTCGACTTCCCGTTGTCCAATCAATTCCAAATTTTGCACACGAACTCAGATCCGGTGACAATGCATGCCGGTATCAAACTCGGCATCAATTAATTAATTCGCTACTTTAAAGCAATTCACATTTTGTGTAGACGCCTTATTATTTATATATATTTGTGGAGGTCAAAAACGCCGCGGTCCCTAAACTCTCGAATCGCCTGCTCCGCGTGAACCAGTTACGGAAGTAATCAATTAATTCAAGTAAGCGGTGATGTGGGAGCAGGCGTAGCATCATTGACGTACTTCTCGACTGTGAGTTAAACGAAGTTGTTAATAAAACCGTTGTTTCTTAAAAACTTTTTTTAAAGATTTTATTTAATGTCAGTTCAACGTGGCTCTCTTTACCCAAGAAAAGCCTCACTGTGTCTCGTGACTCTCTTTCATGAGAGTTCTGCCCTGCCATATTTGGCAGTAAGAAGCCATGATAGCTATGTGTCATCCTAACACAGGAAGTTGTAGGTAATTTTACAAATGCGATCAATTTGGACCATGATGCCTCTCCTGCCATCTCCTCATAGCCAACTTCCACGGGTTTGGGACTTTCACAAAACCTCGTGATTCACCAACCGAACTTCTCGCGGTTCACCGCTTTGTTCATCTGACACGATCCACCACCCCTCGCCGCCCCGGGGAAGCGGCGGTAGCAGAGTAGACACATCAGTTTCTTCTAGATTTGAAGCTTTCGTGACTGCAAGGATTCATATTCTTAGGTTTTGTCAGTTTCTGCCACCCTCCGCACAGACCACCTCGACTCCAACCCGAGACTGGCCCCCCTCGTGCGTGACCTCACCACCCGCTGCCCGCCTCACCGAATGTCTCTTCTCCACCTCCAGGGCATCTACAGCTGCCTCTACGGCGTGGAGATGGTGGAGGAGCGGCGCTACTACCTGCCCCCGCCCCAGGGCGCGCGCCCGGAAGAGCCCCGCGCGCGGCGCCTGTTTGGGGCGGCGCGCGGCGTCTTCCGTGGCAGGCGCGAGCGCGGCGGGGGCCAGGGGGGGGCCCCCGACGCCGACCGGGGCCCCCCGTCGTGTGCGCAGAACCCCCTGCTGCACCCGGCGGCGGCGGACGCCGCCCAGCGGCAAGTTGTGAGCTTTGCCGAGGCGGCCCGCGGCGACGCGGTGAGCGCCGTGTGCGCCGGGGCGCCGCGGGGGCGGCCGCGGTTCGCCGCGCCGCTCCCCCCCGTCGGCCGCCCGTACTTCTTCTCCACCGGCCAACCCGCGGTCGCCGCCGCGGCCGCCACGGCCGGCGCCGCGGCTGATGCGCTGCCCTACGGGCTGGGCTCCGGCGTGCGCCAGCAGCTCAGCTGGGAGACGGACGGGGAGAGCTGGCTCTACGCGAGCGAAAAGAGCGGAGAGGGATGCGCGGGCGGTGCTCCCGCGATACCCGGCTGCGGCGGAGGAGGCGGCGGGGCCGTGGCCACCGGCGCGACCTCGCCGAGCGGTGGCGGTGGCGGCGGTAGCTGCCAGAGCACCCCGTGGAGGTGCGCGCTGCACAGCACGTACGACATGCTGCCCCCGCAGGCCCACAAGTCCAAGAGGGCGGCTCAGAGCCGCGCGGCGTCGCTGTCCCCGCCGCCCGCGCGGCCGCCGCTGGGCCCGCCGCGCTACGCGGGGCCCGGCAGCGCCGACGTGGACCTCATCCCGCACGAGAGCGGCGGCGGCGGTAGCCAGGAGACGCCGCCCTCGTGCTGCTCCGGCGTCCCGCCGCCCGCCCCGCCGCCGCCGCGCCGCCCGGGACACTGCCGCCGACCTCTCGGCCGCACGAGGGGCATGACGATCGACGACGACGACCCAGCCGGCGCGGACGAAGATGACGACGGGGACGACGGGGGCGGGGGGGTGTGCGGCGACGACGACGACGAAGCCGCCTCCGAGAGGGGCTCCTGCGCCGCCGCCGCCGCCTCGGACGACCGCTTCGGAGGCTCCCCCGGCGCCGGCGGGAGGAGAGGCGGCTTCCACGATGGGGGGCGGGAGGAGGCGCACGCCGAGCGGTGCCCCTACTGGGCGCAGGCGGCCGCTCGCCTCGGCGGGCAGAAGGCCGCGTCGCGCTCCATGGTGTGCCTGGAGCGCTGCCGCGGGCGCTCGGCGGAGACGGGCAGCTTCGGGTCGTCGGGGCCGCCCGTGTGTCCCCGCACACCCGAGGCCAAAGGCTCGGCCAGAAGTCAGGGGGGCCCGGCGAAGGGCCGCCGGAGGGACGGCAAGGGCTCCGCCCTGTCCACGAAGCACCACACGCTGCCCATGTCGTTTCTGTCCAAGAGGTCGGACTTCAAGTACGCGCACGCGCACCTCTCGGGCTACGAGTCAGAGGTGTGAGCGCCGCGGGCGCCAGTGGCCGTCTGCAGCTCGAGGAGGAAGAAGAAGAAGGAGCAGCAGCACGTGACTGTGAGGGACGATGAGATCTATTTTTTAAATGTAGCTGACGAGGCGTCCATGTGCCAGCTACAAAGTCTTATAATCTCGGTTTAGTTGCAATCGCAGTTTTCTACTTCTGGCAATTAGAGATTTTTTGCTATGCAAACAAATAGTGTAAATATTTACGGCTTAAAACTGCTCGAAGCGCGATCGTCAAGCGAAGGGCCGTGGACTCTGGAGAGCCGTGCAGTCGCCGTGCCAATTCAACGAGAGATGGATTGCTTCTCTTTGATATGATGTATTTTGTTCGGTCCACGTAGGTAACACATTGCTTTAATCCCACCGGTACCGATGAGTCATGAAGAGTGATGCAAAAAAAAGTTGTAAAGAACATACTCTCATAGGGAAAAAAAAGAAATTGAGGTTTTCTGTAGATGCATCAACACACGTGGCTTCATAAAGAGTTTGACGGTGTAAGTCATGTTGAAAAATAACACTTTGGAGACCTTTATATTCAGTAAAATTCCATAATGGCAAATCTGGATACAGTGTCCTGTTATATGTCCTGTTATAACGAGCACCACGAGCCAGAAATGTGCATTGCTGAATATAGCGCGTGTCCGCAAAGGTATCGTCTGTTATTAAAGAATTACAGACAGCGGGTTGAACCGTGTGGTTGAAATGCTGGCTCCGTATTCGCTGTACACACTCGTGGGTTTTTGTTTTACCAAACACTTTGAGTGATCTTGTTAATCATTACATTAGAAAACGTCACGGCTCAGACGTTGGCGAACGCCCTGGGGGCTCTCTCTGATCCCGACGTGTCGCCCGGTGGCCACGTGGAGGTTTAGAGGGGCCAGAATCTTACGATGAAATCTTCAAACGAGCAGCTGTCTAATTGTAAATTCTTTATTAGCAAAGGAATGCTACAGAATGGACACCCGTCGCCCCTACACACAGAGGCAAGGGGACTTCACCTCTCCTTATCTCTCACACTTTATAAGTATGCGTTGTGTTAGACACATGCACGCACACACGTACATATATATACACACGCGCTTTGCAATTTCCAGATCACCTAACCACCTCAAATCCATGACCTAAACCAGCCCAGGACCGTGCCTGCCAAGGGCATGCCGACGTGTACAGGCGCTGCCACAGCATGTGCACTCGGCAGTGGTGTTTTAATATGCCTCGCTAAAGAAGAAGCATTTGCCGTTATAACAGGACCTCACTCATGTTCCTGACACTGGGACAATTCGGACACCGTTACTCACTCAAAGCCTTCCTTTCCTCTGTTCAGCCGTTATAATGAGGTTCTACTGTGTGTATGTATGCATATTTGTGTATGTACGTATATTATATATACTTATGTACAGTGACATATTTCCGCCCTCCCCATCCCCCCATGGTTAGCACCTGTTTTTTGCATAAAGTTACCACGTTATAATTACAGGAAGTAAATCATATCAGGTTGCACTCCTCTTTATGTGGCAAAAATAAATGAAACCAACTTGAGGGGCAGCGGTGACGCTGTCGCCCGATGTGCAGCGGAAAGGATGTAACCAAATCTAGCCAAAGGTCACCAAAGGTAGCCACCGTCAAATGATGAACGAATTGCTGCTAATTGTCATTTCAGCCTCGCCAAACGCCACTCGTGAGCGCCGACTGCGCGACGCTGCGAGCGAACGCGCCGCCACGCTTGGCTCCGCAAACCGAGTGCCACTGGAGCGCTGTGAGCCCGATGTGTCATTGCTCCCTGTACGACTGGTCGCGTGGCGAGCCGCCTCGCAGGTGGAACGTGTCCTGGACGCCACCGGAGCGCTGCCTTTTTGTTTTTTTGCCGCTGCCCGCCACGGTTCTGTAGGCGTGCGACTTTGAGCGTGGACCGACGCCTCTCACTGCGTTTTCTTCAAGACGACGGAGATGTATTTATTTATTTATCTATTTATTAGGCGGTAAAATAAGGATACTTTATTTGTTTCTCTCGAGAAATACTTTCCTTGCAGAAATTTTACGTGCAAAAACCCATCACGTTATATACTCAATTTATAAAACACGCACACGCACATGGGCGCGCGTGAAAGAAAGAGGCCAACAACAACATTATTACTGCCCGTTGCGTGCGTGTGTGCAAATGTAGTCATTGTTGGAGCAGCACTCAAAGTACGTTCCGTTGTTCTGTTGACGCCACATAAAACCAGCCCGGCACCTCATTAACCACAATCATTTCGCGACGCAGACCCCGCGTGGGCTTCTTCCATGCGGGGTGTAAACGCGCGACTCGCGGGCAGGCAACTGCGGAGCGCAACAAGGCGGATCGGGAGCGATTGGCCAAATCCAACACGACGCAACTGCCGTTTTAACGATCCTGGAAAAAAATATTTACACGGACGTGGGGTTTTAACCACCGATACGTGGAAAACGATGGGAATGTCCTTGGGAAATAATGCCGGAGGTTCGCACGGCCTGTGAGCACCACGCTGCCCTCACGCCGGGTGACCAGAGGCAGAACATGGGCCTCACCGTAGCGCACATTCACTGCGTTGTGGGGTTTTTGTTTGTGTTGCTGTTTTCGTTGCTTTTAGCATAGTTTGCCTCTGTTTATTTTTTTATCTGTTTCCGTGTCCATTCGCTGACGCATTAAGCTGTTCTAGTTTTAGTTGTAAAGTTGCTAATGTGTTGTGTGAATTCCATCAGTTTGCATTTGAGCTATTTTAAAGTTTTTACGAGATGAATAAAGATTCTAAATTAGTGTTTGCCGCTTTGCTTTTTTTCAACAGTTTTACTTTACTTGACTCCTGTGTTGGTCGTGGTCAAATCTTGTCATCAACATTTAGTCGACTTCCCGTTGCCCAATCAATTCCACATTTTGCACACGAACTCAGATCCAGTGACAATGCATGCCTCTATCAAACTCGGCATCAATTAATTCGCTACTTTAAAGCCATTTACATTTCGTATGGACGCCTTATTATTTATATATATGTAATAGTGTTCCAGGAGACTTGGACGCCGGGGTTGGAGGCACACGTATTTATTCCGTGTCGGTACAGCACAACACTGACATACAACACTGGAGGGGGTATCGGCCCCCTCACCCGTCTAACTGGGGATACACTCTCTAGCTACGCCTAGCCTACCTCTGGGTCCTCCACTAACGGGCTAGGGGAGGCTAGCTAGCCCGACACTGGTAAGTCGGGCTCACGGTACCCGGAGTCCCAGACCAGCTCTTACAAGAGCACCGGCTCTGGCTCTCGGGACCACGCCGCTGGCTCGATCCTGTTCGGCCCTGATAAGGGCGGCGATCCAGGGGAGTCCAGGGCTCTATCTACGACGATCTTCAGTCTTCACTGGTTAGCTTCAACATCTCTCCCTGAGCCCTCCGGCTCATCCCCTTTTATACCAAAACCCCCGCTGGGTGGTGGGGCCCCGGGGGATCCCAGCTCCGAGTCAGCCCCCCAGGCTGCCCTATGCGGACGTCGCTGGGAGCACCTTCCCGTGCACCGACATAGCCACGCCCACTGTGTTTCTTTCCCATCTGATCCCATTGTATAACAGCCCCTCCGTAACACCCCTACATATATTTGTGGAGGTTAAAAACGCCGCGGTCCCTAAACTCTCCAATCGCCTGCTCCGTGTGAACGACTTCCGGAAGTAATCAATTAATTCCAGTCAGCGTTGATGTGGAAGCAGGCGACGCATCATTGACGTACTTCCCGCTCGTGAGTTAAACGAAGTTGTTAATCAAACCGTTGTTTAAAAAAAAAATAAGGAGTTTACTAAACATTAAACACGTGTAAAATTAGATACGTGCAAAATGACCACAATGGCATGATGCAAGCCATTGTCCTGTTATTGCAGACAGATGTGGCAGAGAGGACCGGACAGACACAATCAGTGAGCAGGACAACGAATGAAGCGATAGCTGGGACAAAAGTCGCGAGAAATTGTTGAGGATTTGTTCTGCAGTTAATGCCAAATTGCCACAAAAAATAATGCTTCGCTGAGAATGATTAACATGTGTTATCTCTCTACCATAATGCACGTCCTGCCTGAATATTTATCGATTACCAACATCACCGCTGCGTTCATAACTTTAAAAGGCAGAGCTGTTTTAGATAACACATTTGTCAATAACACTGTGGCCTTTAAATGAAAACAAAATATATCATCGGTGACGTTTCGGACTGTGGCCCTTATAGCACATTAATGAAGGGCAATTGCCCCTATTGTATAAGTTTAATTTGAAGGCCACGGTGTTAGAGACGAATATGTAGGAGCTGTGTTCGTTATACACCACTACCAATGCAGCAGCATCACCAAATCATGTTTCAGATCATTACGGCCTTTCCTCCAACCAGAGAAGGGAGATAAAAACAAAAGTCGGTAGCTCAATGTTCACGGAGCATTTTTGTTATAAGTGGCTTCAAATACATGAAACTGTGGAGGAGGAAACTTCGGTCTAATAGCTACTGGCATCTTACTTTACCTCTCCCGAAGCCAATCGCCTGATTTTGTCATTTATGTTTAAGTTACGAAACTGTGGCAAAGATAAACGTGATAGAGCGTTCATCATTTATTTCTGTAACATTTCCAACAGTCTAATGAAAACACTAATTTTAATACGTACATGCACACACTACCTTAAATTATTAAGGCTACGGTTTTTAATGTCTTAATATTGGCCTCTGCCAGTATAGATCTACGCATGATAACCTTCTAAACTGTGACACTTTCAAATGTCAACAGAGGGAAAGCTGCATCGAGATAGGTCAGCATTGACATTTAATGTACCGGGGCGTGGGGGGTGAGCAGAGTTGGCAGGCGGTCGGGGCGACACTCCCGCCGCTTTGCTCGTCGATCAACCCCCCTGGGATCCGCTGCCCCAGAGCAGAATGACAGCACAGAGTCATCCCACCGTGCACGTGCACGCTGGTGCATCGAGAGTGAACAAAAACACTCGTTTCCTTAGAACCGCCTTTTGTGTTCAGTTTGTTGTCCTTCCCTAGCACCTCCGATTAGCACAGTTGGCTACGTACGGTGCGAAGGGAGTTCAACACGAACAACAGAATACACAACATGCGTACACGACACGTACAAAGTGCCCTGTCTGATCGTCCTGTGCTGTATCACGATGGCCGCCCTGGGGTGACACGATGGCGAGACCCCGACCCTGACGCCTGTATATTGGAAGTGCGCGTATCTCTGTTCCCCGTGTGTCGCGTGGGTTTTTATCTGGGTCCTCCGGTTTTTACCTCGACATTTAGAATCAACATCACACGTTTAGAGGAATGTGGCTGCTCTAAATGTCCACATGGTAAGCAAAAACGTTGAGCTACCATTTGTGATGGCCCGGTCGCATCTGACAAAGTGTCACATCGCTCAGTGGGCCATGACGTGGTAATTTTGTTTTTAAATAAAGTTTAGTTTCGTTTAACCAGCCTCGACCCCGATGTCGGCTGCATCTCGGGGGACGCTGGCCACGGTTGTGGCGCTCCGGCGCTGCGTCGCGAAGCCGTGGGGGGCTGGAAGGGGGGGGGGCGGAGTGGGGGGGGGTCTGGCAGGGGAGGGCGGAGAGGGGGGGGGGGCTGGCAGGGGAGGTCGAAGCGGCGGGGGGGGGGGGCTGGCAGGGGAGGGCGGAGAGGGGGGGGGCTGGTAGGGGAGGTTGAAGCGGGGGGGGGGGGGGCTGTAGGAGGCTTGGCGTCTCCCTGCTCATTCCCCTGGGGCAATCACCTTCGATACGGCACCGGCCCGAGCATTGCGAGATAAATCAAATGCCTTCCACATCTGATTTCGCCGGCAATATTACATTTATAGGCGTTTCTTGCCATGAAACAGAGCCTCTCCGCACGTTCTGGAAAGGCTAATAAATCTTGCTGCAGGTCACACAAGACTAAGGCCATTGAAAACACAAGCCTTGATTCCCGGGACCACATTTTTACTTTTGTTTTTATTAACTGCATTCACAGCTGCTTTCAGTCACACCAGGGTGGCACTTTGAAGTGCTTGTTAGTGTATATTTAGCTATGCGCATCAATTTATAGCATGCCTTAAAATAAGATGTTGAAACTACTTATAAAGAAAACCAAGTCACTCTCTGCACGGATCCATGTTAAACGTTAACAACATGATTTTACAAAGTACATCATCCTATTTTACATCTAGTTGTAGGAGTGAAAATTACATTTTATTTAAAGCCCATATGTGTGAATGGCGGAGTGGTGGCACAATGTTTGCAAACTGCTTCGTGATGCAGGTGACCTGAGTTTGATACCTGGCGATAGACCAACATCGGTGGAGCATCACCTGACCTGGTGCTCCCCCCCCCCCCCGACCTCTGAGCCTCTCTCCCCCCTCCTTACACATTTGGTCAAATAACTCCCATTGCCGAGATGGCACGGAGAGGCCTTCATCCAGCAGTGGATCAACAACGTTGCAAATGCATCAATGTGTTCGTCTAACGAGAAAAGTGGGGCTTGGGCATGGCACGTTGCTGGGCGGGATGATGGCCGGTGGCCACAAATGGTGACGAGATCAGCTTGTGTGCAGGTGCTCAATGGATTACTGGACATCTGTAGAAAATAGCTTGAGAGCTCATTGTATTGTTGCAGTATGCATACATATTCTGATTCTGGATTGTCACATCGTAGAACTGTGAAAGGTGGCTTGGGGGAGACCTTCATCCAGCAGTGGATTGATGATGGCTGATGATGTGTCGCAGCGGCTTTTGGCTGGCCATCGAATGAAGGCAGTCACGGCTTCGCGTGCTTTCAGATGCTCTTCTGTGGCCAACTGGAATGCTCTTCCTTCCGA